TAATTTAAAAAGAAAATAAATATTTAAAAAAAAAATCAAAACATACAAAAGAAAAGAAAAATTGTTAGCTGAAATTTAATTGGAATAAAAACAAGTAAAATATCATCTGAAGTAATTAATGAATAAAAATGAATGAATATTAATTAGTATTAATTATTAATGTCATTTATCGAAGATTTTCTTCTGTTTAAAAGTGTACTGGCTTATTTTATATGCGATTAAGTGATGCATTTTTATTATTTTATTTCTAAATTAAGCTGAAATTTTAAATTTGTTTCATACTTCAAAGTAGTTTTATATAGTATTAATAATAAGATAATGAGATTAAGTTACATTATTTAAATTCTTTGTGAATTTAAAAGGAAAAAAAAAGAGATTGTGATTGTTTTTTTGTTTGTTTTAGTACGTGGTTAGGAAAAATTTTCAGTCTGTTTCTTCTTTAATACTGTATAATTAAAGAAGAGCGTAGATAAAGATTTTTGTTTTATAGATTTAAGGATTTAAAAATTTTATTTATAATATATAAATGAAACCGAGTGCAAATTTAATGCGATTTTCATAATATTTTATAAAGAAAAAATTAAATATTTGTGAAGATTTCTTGGTTGAGATCATTGGTAAGATAATATACATTTTTGTTGGAATTTTGTCAAATTACTTTCTTTTGTTAAAGGATCATATATTAAACTCTGAATGCTGTTCATTACTCTAATCGATAAAATTGAAGCAGGATTTTATTTATTACTAATGTAGACTGTAGAGGATTTATGTTTCCAAAACAACTTCACTGACCCAATTCTTTCTGTGCTGCATGATAAAACCTTAAACCAAAAGCAAAATCTTTAAATCATAAATTGCACTAAACAATAAGAATTTTTTATTCATTTATTTATTTTTTTTCCTCTATAAAAATCTCCATTTGCTTCTACACAATATTGTTTATAAAATAAATAACATAAAGACAAAATTGAAAAGGGAAGAAAGTTTCAAACTGATCGATAAACTAAGTCATTTTTTAATACTTCTAAACTAATTAATAGGAACAAGGATGGGATCTAAGGTTTTCTATTGATCGATGTAAGCAGACATTGGCCTCAGACACCAAGTGATTGATTAGCTGAGATCTTTTCGTGGCACTTTTGTCCAACAAGTATTTAACTAGCCGTAAAACGATACACAGAATAGACACCACTTACTAATGATGAGCAAAGTTTGTATGACCTTTTATCGTGTTATCTACGTTATAGGTTATTAAAGATACTTTCTGCATCTGATAGGTACAAACGAGGGTGATAATAAGGCAAAATTTCAATTTATTTTCATTAAATTTATGCTTCAATAGGCAATCAAATTAATATTTTTATATGAACCAATGTGAGATAAATTAATAAATAATTTTTCTTTTTTTTCCTCATATTAATTAATGTATTAGAAGCTAGAAGATATCTTAATGTTAAAAAAATGAATAAAAATATATAATTTAGATATATTATTCCTTTAAAAATGCTTTAAAATTTACAGTTTTCCTTCATTCTGTCAAAAATCGGTTAAACGTAAATTTTTATCGTTAAGAATTGATATTTTAAATTTACTTTTATAAATAAATTATTAATTAATCTTAGAAAAATCATTTATTAAAATTTTAATTTCACTTTTACTATTTTTTAATTAATTTTTATTCATATTTTCTAAAGATGCTGCGTGTGAGGATGCGGAAGAGATTCGATAAATTGATCTAAAAATTACGTTACCAAATACCCGAAATTAAACTGATCTTAATTTATTTTTAACGCTATGATAAGTTTAATCTGATAGCAGATTTAATAATTTTATACTCGTTAAAATTTAAACATTCTTAATTTTGCTTATCCTTCTAATTACTCTCACTTAAATCATCTTTTAAATACAAGTAGAAGAAGGAGGAGAGAGAAAAAAAATAATAATAATTTTAGATTGATTTTATTTAATGGAAGTTCTAGTGCATTAAGAAATAATTAACACTAAAATAATGTATATAAATGATAACTTATCCACTTAATTACGTTCCTAAATCAATTTTTAAACTAAAAATTTCGAATTTAATAGTGATTTAGAAGAAAATTAATGAAATAATTGTGATTCTTAAATAATGCCTATAATTATTTACTTTTCTAATGCTTTTTATTGAGTTTCAAATGATAATTTTGAACAAAAATTATTGAGAAGAGCAAGAAATGAGAAGAAAATACTTTACCAAAAAATAAAAAAAATTACAATTGAATTACAAAAGAGAAAATTAAATTTTTTGTTTGTTTCTTTTATTTAGTTCCTAATTTTATTGACTTTACCTATTCAACTATGTATTATACAACCAAACTGAATATTTATGGTTATTAATTTTAATATATTTGTAATGGATAATCATTAAAGCTCTACCTAAATATAAAAGTATATTATATATATATATATATATACTGTNATCAAATTAGTTTTACTTCGATCAATGTAAATTGGGCACGTATTGAAGCAAATAAAGTATTCATGCTGTCGTCTACAATAATATTATTGACTTTTTTTGCGTGGAAAATTTTTAAGTACTAGATAACTTTCTGCATTTATTTTTTATTTTTTCGTTTGTTTATTCGTTTGCTTGTATTATAGATTTTTCGAACAATACAAAAGATAATAAGTTGAAATTTTATTGATTATAAAGGACATAATCTTTGTAAAGTTCCTGATCGAAAATCATTCTCATTTGTACTGCTCAAGCACTATTATCAACAATTTTTAACAATAAATGGCACCATATGTAAGCTATTACTAATCTCACATACGATGCCATCAAAGATAAATTCATGAATACAATAAGTTTAGCAGATTGTAATTTACAAAATGTAAGTGTTATACGCGAATACATACGTAAATCTTGCATACATACAAGCGATTTTCTAAAAAAAATTTGATTGTAATTTTAATAAAATTGTCTCCAATTGATTTATTTTAATCACTTAATTTATTTTCTTTAATTTGTCTGATTGTATCACTTCTCGTATATAGCACAATCAAAGTTATTTAATATGAAATGCTTCGCATTAATAAAAAAAAAATTAAAAATCAAGATTTAATTCGTTTCAAAATTGCTAAATAAACTATTTGTAACAATTTAAATCTAACATAACCTTAATGTAATTGCTTTATAAACTTAATTAGTTAATCAATCTAATTTTAACATCACAGGAATTTAATAAACGAAATGTAAACAAAAATGTTAATTTTGTTTTCCTATTTTCATAAATATAACTTAAGATATGTTATATATATAAAAGTACATAATAATATTTCTTTCTAATGTTATTATTGTTACTTTATGATGTAAGAAAGAATAAAATGTGAAGTATATATGAAAATTGAAAAGTACATATATAAACGATTTTGGAATGTTCTGTAGACATTATTTGTCATTTGTTATTTTGTTATTGTACTGTACTGTACACGGATAGTTTGGTTAAACAGAATAGAGTTATACTAAATGGACAGTTATTGTATTTATTTATGTTTAGCACGCAACAAATTGTAAAGCACTTTCTCTCCTCTAAAAGAAAACAACACCTACCAACATGTAATGGATTGAAGTGTAACAGGTATTCTTCTTTTTTTTTATTAAAAAAAAAGAAAAACAGATAATGCTGTGTAAATAATCTTTTAACACGAAGCATTTTTCTTATGTTATTTAAAGAATATGTATTCAGTACCTTTTTTATTATTTTTACATACGTGTTTAAAGCAATTCGTTTGTACAATAAGAGATTAAAGATTTCTTATATAGATGACTAATTATATTATTTTTATATAAAAATTTAATAATTTAATGTTTCTAAAGAACTTTATACTTTGAAATATATAATTTTTTCTTATTTTTTACTGTAAAATATTGTATATTTATGTTAATTTTTATTATTTGTTTATTGAATTTATANAAAATGTACTAATTTAAATTAATTTATTTAATTTAATACAGAAATGCTTTTGTAGAGTTTACTAAACCACTATTCATTGTTACAAACAGTATACAGAAGACTTTCTGAAGGATGCATGTTATCTCGCTATTCTTATATACATGAAAAAGGAAAGTTTTTCACTTTCTCTTTTTTTTTACTAGGGAAAAAATAACAATAAAAAATGATTCCTTTCTAGAGTAAAAACTTCTCCCAGATGTAAGATAGAATGTGATAAAAAAAAGGAGAGAGAAAAAATGATGCAGCATTTTACATTACAATAGACCAGGAGTAAGGAGGGTCATTACTGATGTTCTTAAACGATAAAGCAAGAGACGTAATTAATTAAAATCTGTAATATTGAATAGAAAAGTGTAATGAATTCTTCGTGTCCATTTTCCTAATCCTTTTTCTAACCAATGATTCTATATGACATCAACAGGAGTAAATATAGTACGAGCTGCTTGCGTTACAAATCAACTGCTCTACTTTTTTTTTCTTTTTATGCAATTCTTTTGCTTTTCTTGATCCTAAACACGTAAATTCTCAATTACCGTAAATTGAATCATCTTTGACGCAATTTTTTAACGTTTATACAAGTTCCTTACGCGTTTTTTATATGCATATTTTACTAATTGTCTTGCTGTAATATGATGTTTCGATATTTCTATTTATAAATTAAATATACTGTAAATTAACAATTCAGAAAATCAATATTTCTTACTTAAATAAACAAATATGACATATTTTTTTGTAATTTTATACGTAATCAAGGATAATTAATTAAACTTATCGTTTATATTAATTATAATGATATTTTTTATATTTTTTATCATTTTTTGTAAAAGAAATTATATTAAAAAATTAATTATTTAGATTAAATTTATCATTTTTTTAATGTCTAATACTTTAATACAGATCATCTTCTGTATTTTTCTGTTGAAAAAAAAAAAATTTTTTTTTCTGATTAAAATTGGAAAAATTTTATTAAAATTTTTTTATTATTTTCTTTTATCATTATTTCAGGTCACATGGATAAGAAGAAAAGATTTTAATCTTTTAACGGTAGGAACAGAGATATATACTAGTGATGACAGGTTTCAAACCATTCATATGGAACATACAAACGATTGGGCATTAAGAATAAAGTATCCTCAAACGAAAGATGAAGGTACATATGAATGCCAAGTCAGTTCAGATCCAAAAATTAGTCATTTTGTCAATCTAACTGTTTTAGGTAAGTCATAACTTTATTTAAAAATATAAACTTAAAACTTCAATTTAAACTGGGTAAAGTTAGTTAAAGTATCTCTATTAAACGCTCTCTAGAGAAATATTTAGCAGTCTAAATGCAACCAAATTTAGTATAATGACATTTCAGACTTGAGGAATACATTTCTGTAAAAGAATTAGTATAAAAGTACAGTACAGTACATCACTATAGTACTTTTGATGCTGTAGACAACAAATATTTTATCTGTACAAGACAAAGTTTGCTATACAGAGATCTTAATGATGCAGGGGATATTGTTCAATGTGGTGTGTTCAACGATGTTGTGTGGCGAACAGTGTGTTCAACGGCCGACCGTAATTGATTCTCTGGGATGCTTCTCACGTGTAGTGATACCGTTTCAAGGCTGCCAATTTTGTAACACGTCCTCGATAAATCACACACATTTTAAGTTTCCAAATACCGAAAATCATACGGCTTGCAACGCCAAAAGTGCCAAAAGGGTGGTGATTTTTAGTATTCTATTAATTTTTTCTTTATGGAAATGTCTACCGCGTGTCTTGAAATGTCACCATGCGAATTTATTTGTATTTGGCATGCTAAATATCCTATGTAAACAACATTGATTAGAAATACTTTAATTAAAATCATCCGATCTGTATATAATAATTTAAGTAAAATTTAAACAAAGTACAAATAAATTTAATCTTTTAAATATATAATTAATTAAGTTATAAAAATGGAAAATAATTTAATAAGTAATGACAATAATAATAATAATAATAATTCGAATTTATCGAAGAAATTATTATTATTATTATTATTATTATTATTATTAATTTTTAAATTTAATTGAATAGACACAATATTCAATTTAAAATTTTAGATGAGAAAAAGTCCTTGACAAATCTCCTAGTTATGAATAGAAAATTCCATTTCAAACATCCAGATTGAGGGGAAAAGAAAATAAATAAAAAAAAACCATTAAATGAATTCAGGTTATTTCAATAACTGGTATTACTTTAGCTTGATGTGATGTTGTATATGCAATTTATTTTAGGTTTTGATAACAGAAATCTATATTTGTATCATATAATATATATATATATTTCTTTTACTTGTAATTTGTTTAAAATACAAAATATCTCTTTCATNAGGTTATTTCAATAACTGGTATTACTTTAGCTTGATGTGATGTATCAGTAAGCATTGGAATTTTCAAATCTTGAATTCATATGCCATCTGTGGTTCATTACTTATTCAACAGGAACGATGCTAAACCCCGAAAGCAACGTTGGACTCTGCTAATGTATTACCTGTTGTCCGTGTACTATACTGTACGTCATATTTCATGATTGATTACTTTATTCTAGCTTGTGTACTCTTCGGAAACTCGACAGATCCTTCTTTTGTACCCTTTGGTCTTCGGGCAACCAATATCGTACTTTAAGAAGCGATAGTTGGACTTGTTATTATACAATTCTTCCTTCTAAAAGTGTGCTTGTTAGAATATAAGAGCCGCAAGGTCAGATGCAAGCTTTTCACTCAGCAGGTGAACCGAAAGAAGAAGAAAGAAAAGATTAATAAAGGCTTTCAAACTGTATGCATTCTGTTGTCTTAGTATGATTGATGGTTTCTTGAATATAGTTGTTTGAAAAATGTATTAATTTTGTATTTTTAAGCTTGTGTCATTTCCCTTATATAATAAGATTAGGAAAGATTTAAAGTATTCTTTATTTTCAACTGATTTAACGAGCAAAAGTGTAGCCATCGAAAAGTTTTCTAGCAAATTGTTCACTGACTCAAAGACATCTTTAATGTATCTCATGACATATTTTTTAAATATATTTTTAATTATTTAAAAATTTATTAATCGTTTATGGTAATTAATTATAATTTCTTCTCATTTTTATAATTGAAAGATTATAAATTTTATTATAAAATTTTTACTTATAAAGTTATTTACATTTCGTAATTATTTACAATTAAAATGTTCTATAAAAAACATTAAATAAAAAATTCTATAGATATTTTTTATATTTTTTATCATTTTTTGTAAAAGAAATTATATTAAAAAATTAATTATTTAGATTAAATTTATCATTTTTTTAATGTCTAATACTTTAATACAGATCATCTTCTGTATTTTTCTGTTGAAAAAAAAACATTTTTTTTCTGATTAAAATTGGAAAAATTTTATTAAAATTTTTTTATTATTTTCTTTTATCATTATTTCAGGTCACATGGATAAGAAGAAAAGATTTTAATCTTTTAACGGTAGGAACAGAGATATATACTAGTGATGACAGGTTTCAAACCATTCATATGGAACATACAAACGATTGGGCATTAAGAATAAAGTATCCTCAAACGAAAGATGAAGGTACATATGAATGCCAAGTCAGTTCAGATCCAAAAATTAGTCATTTTGTCAATCTAACTGTTTTAGGTAAGTCATAACTTTATTTAAAAATATAAACTTAAAACTTCAATTTAAACTGGGTAAAGTTAGTTAAAGTATCTCTATTAAACGCTCTCTAGAGAAATATTTAGCAGTCTAAATGCAACCAAATTTAGTATAATGACATTTCAGACTTGAGGAATACATTTCTGTAAAAGAATTAGTATAAAAGTACAGTACAGTACATCACTATAGTACTTTTGATGCTGTAGACAACAAATATTTTATCTGTACAAGACAAGTTTTGCTATACAGAGATCTTAATGATGCAGGGGATATTGTTCAATGTGGTGTGTTCAACGATGTTGTGTGGCGAACAGTGTGTTCAACGGCCGACCGTAATTGATTCTCTGGGATGCTTCTCACGTGTAGTGATACCGTTTCAAGGCTGCCAATTTTGTAACACGTCCTCGATAAATCACACACATTTTAAGTTTCCAAATACCGAAAATCATACGGCTTGCAACGCCAAAAGTGCCAAAAGGGTGGTGATTTTTAGTATTCTATTAATTTTTTTCTTTATGGAAATGTCTACCGCGTGTCTTGAAATACAAATCTACATAAAATTAAAAATGCCTTTAAATAAATTATATAAGTTGATAGATAAAATATGTAATTTAAATTTTACCGATAATAGTGATATTGCCAGATCATGTTTCAGATTATCCTGAGAATTAAATACTTTGATAATATTTTAGTTTAATGGTTTTCTTTCACCTAATATCTTTCCTTTATACATTCCATCATATTATTCCCACAATTTGTCTTTTTTATTTTAAATTTTCAAGACAATATTTCTAAAAATTCCTTTTTCTTGTGAATAGTGAATAATGCATACAAGGTAAAAGAATATTTACATTATAATTTTACTCAATTTAAAGCTGTTTGTGAACATCACTTATATTATCAATAGTTTTATTGTTGTCTTATCTTTTTATGTATTTTTGTTGTGTTTTTGTTATTTATTNTCATTATTATTATTATTATTATTATTATTATTAATTTTTAAATTTAATTGAATAGACACAATATTCAATTTAAAATTTTAGATGAGAAAAAGTCCTTGACAAATCTCCTAGTTATGAATAGAAAATTCCATTTCAAACATCCAGATTGAGGGGAAAAGAAAATAAATAAAAAAAAACCATTAAATGAATTCAGGTTATTTCAATAACTGGTATTACTTTAGCTTGATGTGATGTTGTATATGCAATTTATTTTAGGTTTTGATAACAGAAATCTATATTTGTATCATATAATATATATATATATTTCTTTTACTTGTAATTTGTTTAAAATACAAAATATCTCTTTCATTTATCAATGAAAATAAGGGTAGATATATGTAAAAAATCATTTATTTATTTATTTCTTACAGTAAAAATGATTGTTTGTTTTCACTTTCTTGAATTTTTTAAATGAAATTCTATATTATTATTATTTTTTAAAATAATAATAACTAAATAAATAAAAATAAATGTAATTTACAACTTCCTTAATTTTAATTTGGTTTAATTTTTAATTGTAATAAACTAAAATTCAATTTTAATTAATTAATTATTTTTTTAAATGAAAAACTTCAATATAAAACGATTCTTACCCCAATTAATTATTAATTTTTATCAATAAAAATGTCTTTTAAAAATTAATTTAATGTCGTTATTTTTTAAATTTAAAAACAAATTTTTTTAATGAATAATTATATATTCATTAAATTGTGTAAATGTAAAACAATACGTAATAAGAATTTTATTTTTGTTCTCTTTTCTCTTCATTAATTATTTGTTATATAAAATGGGATGATTTTAATTAAAACTTTTAACAATTTCAATAATACCCGTGGATTATAATTTTAATTATTATCGTAATTACATCAATTGAAGTATTAAAAGAAGGTTGTAAAATAGATATATATAGCAGTTTATGAGTTTTAATCGTGTTGCTAGAAAGTAGTTTAACTTCTATTGTCCTTTAAACAGGTTTTAATATGGTTTGTTACAGGAATTTGTGAAGACTTCTCTATATTTATCGGTTATTTGTGTTTAAAAAAAAAGTAATAAGTTATATATATATCAATTGAAGGAAGCAAAGAAAATGTAGTTTGCAGCTTGTAAGTTACAAGCATTCACAAGCCTTTTTTTTGACTATACATTGACAAGAGTATAGAAAGGTGATAGGCCAATAGTTCATAAAAGGTGTTTTACTCCCTTTTTTTATTCCTGAAGGATTCGAAATAGGATTGCTTTCCTGTAGACTTTAGGCTACTGCAATTTTTTTCGATTCTTTGCCTTCAATCTCCACTGTCTCTTTTCCTGCCTTTTTTGTGTTCCATTGGGATCTCGATTCTTTCTCAGATCTTAGCTCAATCGTGTCTTTTCTTACTATTTTTTTTTTATCTGATGATCTCTGTTGTAACAGGAACATAAATCGATCTTATTTTTTGAATTCTTTACGTTAACTTGAAATATTGACATCGGTATTTTTGTCAGTTTATATTGATTTACAAGAGTTGAAATATTTCTATATATCTTACGTATATTTATCT